ACGAGTTTTTCTGTACCTGTCGCAACAAGAATTGAGCAACGAAAATATATTTGTAACTTCGATTTCATATCACGGGAATGCGCCAATGGCAAAGATGTGCGAAGCACAATTTACGTTTCTTTCGCAATACAGTGTCTGATGGGCGGATGGTGGGACCACTATAGTTTCCGCTGCCAGCCGGTGGATTATTCCAACAGCCCCACCGCGATAAGGGTAAGTGTGCCTAATCGATCTAACTCTAGCCGGACCATTCAACGAGACTGCCTCCCAATTACTTCAACGAGACGACTATTGCAACAGAAATCACCGAATCGGGTCCGCCTGATATCACGGATATTCATCTATAAAACATATATTTTTGTAGATTGGCCGTTCCTTACTCGGAGCGGAGGCTTGCGACGGGGGCAAATATTCCTGGAGCTGTGCGATTTAGGTGTCCTAGAAGAGCTTATGCTTCCTTTTTGTCTAATAGAGAGCCTGGCACGTTCCTCCAGTGCTACTCTTTTTCCGCTTCGATATCCGCTATCTCAACTCTCGATGAAAAAATCAAACACTGAGTGTTGAACATGTGTCGCATTCCCTTCGGGGAAGAATCGCAATTGTAAAATCGCGCGTCCTCCAGTCTTTATCGATTTATTCTTTGACCGAAGAAATACATTTTGTTCTTTTGCATTTCTTTCGCGAATAATTCCTTTTTATCCAGTTGCGACTTCTTTTCCCGTTGAAAGTACGAGGCGCGGCATCGCTCAACATTCTCGTACGAGAGTTCAACGCAAATATTTTATATAATATGCACAGAGAGTAGTTGTTAAGCTTGTACGCAATATACATCTGCCATCATATGCCTATTTTTTTTATCTCTTTATTGACCGATGGCGAATGGCCTTTGGGCGAATGTGGTTGCAGATAGGGATATCCGGATGGCTGACTGGAGACTATTCTCTAAGATGTCAACCTGTAGACTACAGCGACAGACCCGAAGTGCTGAGGGTGGGTGAATTTTCGTGATTAACAGAATTATCCTTGCCATGATCTCTTTCTATTCGTATTTATAATGTTTATATCTAAAGCTGACCATATACGATGCATAATTTCTTGCATGATGGGGTTACATGCTGCTGTGCTTGTTCTAATGTTGATTCTATGACAAGAGTCGATAGTCGATAGTCCTAAGTCTTATTGGTGAAATTGACTAATAGCTAACTTGTATAGTCAGGGTCTATAAGGTTGCAATACTTTTTTTTAATAGATTTCCATTGAGCGATTGGTTCTTATTTATGGATCGACAAATAAGAATTAATCGTTCGATAAGGCTGCATTCCGAAACATTGAAAAAAGTGTTGCAACCTTTTAGGCCTTTACTATACAACTAACGCTGATTAACTAACTTCGATTAAGACTTCCTACATTGTAGAATCAGTATAATGCATACTAAACATCTTCATTCATTGAGCGAAGCATATTATCCTATGTGATATGGTTGCAGTATGATGTGGTGCATTATTTCTGGTTTCCTTGCACGCGCTAATCAAAACATTAAGAAATAGTCACGTGATTGATTAATATCAAGCATAGATCAGAGGGATACGTTCTGAAGATACGTTCTACACGTAATGTATTTTAATATTTTATCTTTCTTTATTATTTAGTGAACAAGGACATGCTTTTCATGCGTAATTCGGAACGCACCCTAAGTTAAAGTTATTATCTTTTTCTCCGTTGTTCTCTTCTTTAGTTTGTGACTCGTATGTACAATAGATTAATTCGACCAATTGATTAAATTAATTGATTGATTGATTGATTGATTCGGCCAATTTCTATACGTCGCTAGGCAACTGAGCCATCAAGAGTGCTACCTTCATGTAAATTTTTATTTATTTATACTTTTACTTTTGCATATTATGCATATATATTGCATATATATTTATGCAGCTCTTTAAGCGAATCATGAATTGGTCAAAATGCAAAGAAATAAACATGAAAATCATGCATTGTGTACGGATAGCTTTAGGAAATGCTTTATAAAACTGATCAATAAATTCATAATTTGATCGAATGAGAAAGATGTAATTTTTATGATCTTATTGAATAATTCACGTTGAATTGATGTTATATGATGTTATACTTCACATAATTCTTAGAATATTTTTCCATTTTAATTAATTATTGGTTAGTTAAAAGTATATTAATGATTGTTATTATTGAAACAAAATATTCTATGAATTTGTGATCTTTTCTCGTGACTGGTTCTGTACGCAATAATACGTGTATATATCCATATGCTAAGAAAAGGACCAAAGTAGTATAGTAGTTAGTAGAATTGCAAACATAGAGTTCAAGCGATAGAACAACTCTAACTGTAGTTAGTAGCCTATGTGATTAACATTGTTTAACATATGCTATACGTCATTACGTCAAGCGATAACGACCATAAATTACATAGACTTTCATTTACGCACAATTGCGCCGCATTAATTTCTGTCATTGCACCTATACATACTGTGACACACTCTATCAGTGACGATTTTCACAGATTCCTCGTGTTCTCGAATACATTACCGGTGTGTTGTTGCGAAATGTTTTTAATATGCATTTCTATGAAAACTGATTTTTTAAAATCACTTAATAAATGTGTTTATTTTTTTATCTGTTATCCTGTTTATGTTAACGAGATAATTATTTACTTCGTTCGGGTCGTTTACTTTTATAAATTGCTATATATATATTCTTTCTTTCTTCCTTCGTCTTTCTTTCTTTTTTGTCGTCTTTATGTTTTAATGAAACTAATTTTAATTTATTTGCAATTATAATATGTAAAGAAGTATTTAAAATCGTCTAAGTGTGTAATAAAAATCAAAGGCAAGAATCCTGATCTTCAACAGGAATGTAAAAAAAAAATATAGAAGCCTCTCATGTTTGAGGATAAAAAAACGTTGCGAATAAAACCAAAGAAACTTTCATGCATAAAATTGATCCAATTAAGAAGTGATAAAAAAGCTTTTCCTAATCGATGTTTCGAAATCGCAGATGGTCCACGCAAGCTGGTGGTATTACTTCTCGAAATTTACAGAATTCATGGACACGGTACGTAAAGTGATCTAAATGTAATTCCCTCTTACCGGCGTGATTTACTCCACGGGGCTAATCGTGCGCATTTTCTTCCAGATCTTTTTCGTGTTAAGAAAGAAGAATAACCACGTATCCACGCTGCATGTGATCCATCACGGTTGCATGCCCATGTCGGTCTGGTTCGGTGTCAAGTTCACACCAGGTAAGTAGAAAATTTTTTATGCAATTCCTTTATTCATTTGTTGCAAAAACTCAGCTGATTTTGCAAAACTAATTTGTGTCAATGTCGCAAAAACGATCCTTCCTCGGCATCTAAAAGCTTTCCTTATACATATATATGGGTTGAAAACGAATATATTGTCACGAAAACGGATAACGACTAGTTTTTTTTTAGAAACTGCAAAAATTTGTTTATCTTTTACATACATATTATCATTTTAGAGCTCACATTTGGAATTTAAATTTATGTGCTTTTTAATAAGAAACTAGTTTTCGGGGAATCGATAATATAATTGTTTTTACTAAATTGCAGACTTGTGTTATTCGTTTTCATAAAAAAACAATATGCTAATTTTTTTTTCATAAGAAAACTATGCTAATTTAGCAATTAATTTGCTAAAAGATGCACTTGGATTATCGAATAAACTACTTGGATGTAATTTAACCTCAATTCTCGTTTTAAAGTCTTAATTTATATATTTGGGTCCAAGTCATTTACGGGATTTTTGGCTTTCTATAATTATTACAAATGAAGATTTCATTCAATAGAAATTTTTCTTTTTAATGAAATACCAGAATATGTAGAATCGAAATATCAAAATATAAAAAGGTTTTGATAATAATTAAAAAGTTATGCAAAAAAAATACTAAAGAACAATTTATTATTAAAAGAGTGCAAAAATCAACTTTTTTTTTAAAGTCATATTTTTATAAAAAGAATACAAGTAAAAGTAAGTAGTGTTTTGAAAAGAGGAAAACATGAATTAAAAAAAAACAAATACGTTATATTGATTCATTTCAAAACATATAATTATTTGCGCAATTGAGTGGAGGTATTTTTATACACGTTCGGAAAAATAATATCGGAGGTACGTCGGATATTTTCTTCTTTAAAAAAAAAAAAAATGCAATGAAAATATTTTATATTAAATTTCTAATGATTTCGACATTATTTATTCACGATTTTATAACTCCGAGAAAATAGAGCGATCGTTTCACCAAGATGCCTCTCTTGTGCTTTTTTTGACAATGAATATATGTTTAATTATAAGAAGAGAGAGACAATGAATACAGCACTAATAAAGAGACACTCCCTAAAAACGAATTTTCACTTTTGGCAAAAATTTGACGAATTTACATTTGACGGGTCAAAATCACAAGCCAAACTTTTATTGCATCACAATTAGCGTCAAGACAATAATGAAACAATTGCATTACGATCGCCAGAGAAAGATTTTTTCAAATTTTTTTTACTCACTTTAACTCTGCAATATAAACACAAAAATAGCGGCCGATTTTCATCCGAGTCCAAAAGCCCACTCATGTAGTTGAAGCAATACTATATACTTTTGATGATTCACATCTTTTTTGAATTATTCACAAATAATTTTGAGAGTGCAGTATTTGTTGCTATTTTTAAGTAAAGAACTTTGATGTTTAAAAACGAATAAATTACGAATACAATTTCGTATTAATTTCTGTTGATGGTCATTCTTTCAGGCGGCCACTCGACTTTCTTCGGTTTATTGAACACCTTCGTCCACATCGTGATGTACATGTATTATCTTCTGGCAGCGATGGGTCCAAAGGTGCAGCCATTCCTCTGGTGGAAAAAGTACTTGACCGCTTTCCAGATGCTGCAATTCATCGCCATCATGGTTCACGCCTTCCAGTTGCTCTTCATCGAGTGCAATTATCCAAAAGCGTTCGTCTGGTGGATCGGTCTGCACGCCGTGATGTTCTTCTTCTTGTTCAGGGAGTTCTACCAGCAAAGTTACCAAGAAAGTAAACCCAGGAAATCAAATGGGGCGACGATATCGAACGGCGTCGCTAAGGATAATCATCAATCAAAGGGCAAGCATGCGAATGGCGTCATAAATGGTGTCGCGAACGGCGCCGTCAACGGTTTCGCAAACGGCTCCTCGCCCAGGAGAAGGGATGCTGCCGATTATTACGTGAAAGGCGAAAGCCTAGCGACGGAGCTCAACCTCCGAAAACCGTTCGCAATGAAAGTCGAGTGACCCTCGAGCGAGCACACAGCCTAGTCGATCTTCTCTCGCTACGACATTGTTTTTTCTTTTTCTTCCGCGGAATCGCCGAAAGATTAATGGGTCTTCTTCCTCTTGTCTCTTTCTTTATCTTTAATTTGTTGTATTATCTAAATACAAAGAGTTGAAGACCCTGCCGAGATCGATGCATCTATCGAAAAAGAAAGAGTACAAAATTACGTTGCACGTATTCGGCTCGCGGTATATAGCATACGTATACAGCATACGTTGACGTACTTCATCAACGATACGATATTTCACTAGCGCGATGGTTTTCCAGCTAGATCCGGACAGTCGCGTGCGACTATAATCCGGCGACTGACACAGAAGGATGCTTAGGCGGATCGTATCCTGATGCTCCCGCATGGACGGGCTGTGGAAAAATGAATAGTTTTTAAATCGGGTTTTACGAAACATTTAGATATAAATAATTGTGCGTTTTTAGCGATCTTAACGATAATTTATGCTACTTGCCAAGTAAATGATTCTCATTAGGTGACTAGTTTGCGAATTAATTTTGCATGGTTCAGATCACAATTGTAGAAAAAAAAGTTTTGAAAAGTTTTGATGTAGATCAAATTGCATAATATAATCTCCATACATCTTCGAAAAGATGACCTTTACACAACATACTGTGTAGATTATCCTTCTCTGGCTTGCTTTTAATGATAGTGTTTATCGTGAATTATCAGCAGTCTATTGCTTCGGCAAAATCACGAATAATTAGATGGAAGATAGAGGAAGAACCGATTCAAATTATAAATAAAAAGAATTATTTATTCCTGAGTATTCGGTGATTCTGTGGCGAGGAAATCACCGCGTCGACATTCCTTATGGGTCAATTTGCAGCAATTGGAAATTATCATTCTTTATTCTGTTTTCATGACGCGATACAAAAAATGTTTCATCAGGTCTGATAAAAATAAACTCAGTCAAGGTTTCACGATCACACGTTCCTAATCTCTCGAAAATTCGCTAGCTGACAGCATGACCTTAGTATTACATAAAGAGATTATGCGGATGTATATAACGATAAATTACAATAGCAATTTGGCGCGATACTGTTACGCAATTAACCGAGAAATCTTTTGCATTTCGATGACTCGCTACTTAGAAACATACATGGAACCGATGACCTTAGCTGATCGAGTCGCGATCAAGATTTCTTAATTATGTAAAAACGCGAAAGGACATTCAAAAGCGAAGAACAGATGAAAATCATAAACTTTAACGATTAAACGTTTCATAAAATCACGCATGTTATTGTCAATATTTATTATGATTCTTTAAGAAAAGATAAGTTTTATAATTGTAATTAATGATTTTATTTTATTATTATATAGAAAATCTGCATTCTATGATTACATAGAAAATCGAAAATTTTGAAATTGGCTCGCTCCAATGAAACAGTGATTCATAGTAGGTTCTTTTCGACTTAAGTAATCTTTTAAGATGCCAATACCGCTCTGTGACCGATATTTATAGTCGATTATATTTGAGACTATCTTAAATACAATCTTAAGATGTCATAATTAGAGAGCTCTATTAGCATTAAGACATTACTTAAGATGGTCTTAAAATAAGAACGAACTATGAATAGCGATCTAGTTTATTCTAATTGATTTGCAGAAATACTATCGACTTGACTGTTCAAGTCTCAGGGCGATATTTATATTCCATCCTTATTTTAAGTAATGTCTTAAGATGCTAATATGGCTTTTTGATAGTTTATGATTGTACTTAAGACGATCTTAAATATAAGATCCAACTATGAATATTGCTCTCAAACATTCATTCATTAGCGGGAGTAGAAAGGATATGATTGCGCCAATGTGCCTTTTGAAGATAGGCGTGCCTTTTGCTCAATACTTAAAGCTCAAAAGCATCGGTTAGAAATGCCAGTAACCGACTTCTGTGATCGTGCATACGTCGACTCGCGAGAGGGACTCTCGACATCCCCTTTCCTTTGCGCGCTCAGCAGCCGCCACGCCGATGTCCTGTCCCGGCGTCGCAACGCTTTCCACATTGTGGATGTGCCAATGCTCGTCGCGGATGCTCGTTGTCTCGGTTGTACTATTTAACGTGCGCGGGAAGCGTGCGAGGATTTCGCGTTCGTGATCGTTAGCTCCTTCAGTTGAAAAGGGTTGAATATTGCGAATCTCCTTCCGCTCGATAGCTGAACTGTTTCTGAAAAAAATTCGGATTAATGGATTTAAATGAACATTGTCATTATTCGGTATCGGATAAGATTGCGATTGTCAAAGTTTAAAATGAAATAAAAAAAAAATGAACGAATTAAAAAGGATTAGTAGATACTTGCAAAATTAGATTATCTCGAGTATATTAAGAAGATTCAGAAATTGTAGTTTCGCGAAATTTTTTTGATTCGCCTATTTCTCAAACGTAAAATTACAGACGAAGAAAAATACGTAGATAAGGCCTATTGTTTAACTCTGCTTTTAATTACTCTGTTTACTAGTTATTGTATTGTGTATCAGGTTTTTGCGTTCTTCCCGAAGCTGAAATCGATTAAAACCGCGACAATCATTAAGCTACCTATCTCGCTCGCTTCGCGCGCGTCTTGTATGTAATACATAGCGTCTTGTACATAGGTAGGCTAGTTTTATATACTACTAAAGAGAAGTCCGAAGAGTGCAACGGTCGTGTCACACTTCGAGACAATTAAAAATTAAAAAAAAAATGATTCAAGTTCAGGGGCTAATTTATATAAATCACATTGCGCGCGCGCGCACACACACACACACACACACACACACACACACACACACACACACACACACACACACACACACGCACGCACGCACGCACGCACACGCACACACATATATATATATATATGAGGCGAAAGCTGTAAAATTGCACATTAAGGTGCATGATCCTTGTAGCGGCTTACGTACATAAGGAAAAAGAAAAGTCAAGAGAGCATCTTGAATTTTCGACTTCTTGGAACCCTGTTCCCAATTACTGCCCTTCTCATTTAAACGTTCTTGAGTCTTGTGATGTAAATTCAAGTAAATTGCAACAACCGTAATTGAAGAACTTGTTCCCAAATGGAAAATGTTCTTAATCCATTTTTCTATCTCTCGCAAATGATAAAAAAGTATACTTTAACATGTTTATTGGTGCCATTTTTTATCAATGATCAAAGAGAAATGATTCTAAAAAAAAAATTTAACTCGAGTTGCATTGATAACAAGCTCTTCGACCGTGATCTGTTATGTGTATGATCTGCAATAATTGATGCGTGTATCATACGTGTGAGCATTCGCAAGGGATTATCTACAACTACATAAAATTTCAGAATGTTGATGAAAATATTTTAACTGAAAAGCATAAAGCCGTTGATAGTTGATTTTTTGTTAGATATCGTTCAATATACAATCACTGGAGCGATGAAAAATGCTAATGCGTATGGTACAAAGAAGAAATACATGGATCTAATAAATTTTTTTTTCTCACTCGGCCGAGAACTTGAAGTTGTTTTGTTACAAGTGGTTCGCCGAGATGAGATGCCAAAAACGAATTATGGCCGTGCGCCGCCAATTTCGATAGGCAATATGTGAAAATTACAAGTGCTCTTACATCGAAAAAATTTTTACGTTGTACTGTAACCGAAATTTATTAACGTGTATATTACGTGATGTATATCACAAAATTGGTTAACGTGTATATTACGTGATGTATTTTTGCGAAAAATATAAATCTATTTACTATGCCCGTGTACTCTAAATTATTACCCTTATAATTCGTATAAAAAAATAATTAAAAAAAAATATATATATACATGCAAAAATTCTGCGGACACATGAATAATATCATATAGAATATATTATAGATAAATGGCGAAAGATTACACTATAGATACAGTATGAATCATTTGCTATTTTTATGTGTGTGTATCATGTATAATAATAAATTGTAACGCTGCAACCAATCCTTAAAAGATACGCCGTCCACGGTCGTTTCGTCGAGTGCCATTACTTCTTGTATGTTTTGATTCGTCCTAAAACATATTTATAGTTAATATTACTGCATTAAATCATATCAATATTTCCACAAATTAACTTACCAAGCACTTAAAACTTCATTAAAATGTTTGATCTCTTCGTGTGTCTGATCGCAAGCGATTTTAGCGAGGTTCAGCATTTCCAGACTATTATAATTACATTTTTCTTGTGGCGACATTAACTTATCTGTGTACTCAATCTCTTCCGTTGAAGTCGAATTGTGTAGCTTCGTGTAAATCATATTGGCAGTTACGTTTTTATAGCATTCTATGAGAGAATATATCGACATTTGTATTGTCGGGAAGTAAGACTTGATCCTCGAATATTGCGGATTGACCGTCGTGATGGAGGCTTTGTCGAGTCCACAGACTGCGTGTCTATTAAGAAAATTCGTATGATAATTCTACAATACTAATGAAAAATTTAACATAAGATGTGTTTAATATAAGAAGATTGTTAAACCTGTACAGTCCCACATCTCCCTTCAACATTACTTTACGTAAAGCGTTGAGATCCAAGATATTGTAAAACATGTCCAATTCGATATCCAACGCATTATTCACACAATTTGCATCATAATTGTCAGCCTGTAAGGCTACTATCCTCTGCAACTCATATTGTAGCTTCTCTTTTCCTTTAAATATGAGCATCGGAGTAGAGTTTAAAATTGCTATGGATTGCTGAATGTCCTTTATATATTTGTTCTGCAATGCTCGATATCAGTATCATGAAAATGTAAAGTATAAAATACATACCATCTGTGTGTCAATCGTCTCTATGTCAGTCGTTAATCGAGCTATATCGAGATTGAGCAAGGAATTTTCTTGAATAATGTTCTTCAATTGCTGAACTTCGTTTTGTAGGTAAGCCTGTTCGGTTTTTAATTTTTTTACCTCCAACTTTAAAACTAACCATGCGCTCACATCTTCATGAGATAACGACTGCAAGACAAGGTGCATTAATTGTCTCTCAGTTCTTCGCTAATTATATTTTTTTTTATAATTTAATATAAGTCTTAAAATATTTTCACGCTACCTCTATTAGTTCTATAAATTCCATTAAACGTTGTTGGTACATGTTAATTTTAGTATTAGATAATATGCGTTTGGATATCATGCATATATATTGACCAGATGCTCTTGCAATACCAATATCTATACTTTCGCCTACTACATTTAAATTGTGTTCAAAGTCATTCTTGGTTTCCAATTTCATTAATATATTTAAATCTTGCGACAGCATTTGATACAAGTGTGTCCATAGTGTGTGCACATCAATACTACTAAGAGAATTTAATATCTTTGTCCATATCTATTATTAGAAAATATTATTCTCAATATTATTTTATACATGAATATTATTTTATATTATAGTCTATAAAAAAAACTAACTTGTTTCTTATCTGTGGCTGAACGACGCAAGTCTACTATTATATCCAAATTTTCCCTCAATCTCTGTTGATTTATATCTTTAGAAGTGCTTGGCATTAAATGCTGGCATACTCGTCTCATGTCATCACAATCTTTCACTTGTTTGCTGGTTTCACTGTGTTTCAATTTAAGCAAATCCTTTCTCCTGCTGATCAGTGAACACTTGCTTTTTATATCCTTTAACTGTTGCACTAACAATTTCATAAAATTTATTAAAATTGCATTGAAATATTCTCGAGATTAATGCATGCTTGTCCTCTTACTTTTTTGTCTAGCAGTATGATCTTGTTCTTCATATTCTTCTTCCAGTATGGATATCTGTTGTTTCAGTGCATTATTTTTTACTTTCAACTGATCCAGATGTCTTGCAGATGAAATTGAAGAATCAGTTAATCCATGCTTCAGTTTGTACAGTAAAATGTTCTTTCTTATTTTACATGCTTCAGCTATAGGAAACGCAGAATTAGAAATGTCTTCCCACAGGAGCTCCAGTACTCCTTTGCATAATCTGATGGAAAAGAAAAGTTAGGCGAAACAATAAATAGCAAGAGATCCAATAAAGATATATAGATATATATATATATATATAA